CTTACAGTACGTGCCCCCAGAGGGCTGGTAGTTAATCTCACCACCCATAATCAATATTCCCAGACCTTCCTCCAAATTGCAATCTCGCCTTGCTCCTAGTTTCATACACTAAGGCCTTTCATTTGGCTTTTATTTATTTAGTTTCTGTTTTCTTCAGTCTTCCTCCTTCGAATTACACAGCCCCCAGCCTCCGACCCTGAGTTGTAGCCTCTTTGCTTTGGGCCAAAGTCATCAATGGCTTTATGATCAGCGCCTATGATTCACCTCCTTTTCCCATTTACTGGGAAGAAGTGATTAACAATCAATCTTTCAGTCCCTCATAATTCTCATGTTTTGAGAACTTGATAAGCAGTTACAGTATTTTTCAGTAATCCTTACAATCAAAACATTGTGTTGAGAGTTTCTGCCTTGCATGCTGATGACATAAACCAGTTTTTGAATGCCATCCTTGTAATTCCTGGAAGGTTTTCAGTCTTGTTTACAACTTTGTGTAGCTTAAAACAAATCAATATTGTACATATTTTTTTACAAAGATTACTGTTTGAATGTCAAAAAGGAGCCCTTTATTATAAAAAATGCATAATCAGTGATAAGGAAACAATTTGTGCACCAACAGTCCCTTCAGTTCTAATAGCTGCCACACAGCTCTGTGATTTCGAAATCGAATCTGGGATGAGACACACCACTATTAAACCGAGGTCATAAGGAACAGATTGCAGTTAAAATAATCATGTAGAAATATGGCTCCTTCAAGGTGGTAAATGACTGAGATTACTACTGTTGTTAACTACAGAATTATAGCTAAGCAAAGCAACACAAGACATGCATTCATTTATTCCTGTGTGGGGCAAAGTCTATTTGTTACTACAGTCGAACGCTCATTCTGTATTGGATCTACATCACCTAGCAAATTAATCATTACAAACTTCAAAAAAGTCAAGTACTCAAATACAGAGAACTGGAAAACTCATAGTTGACTGGGCATGTAATGGGTTACTGGTACAGTAGCTTTAAATGCTCTAACATCTGAAAATGAAAAATGATAAACAGGGCCATTTATTGAATTTTGTGACTGAAAGCACAGATGGGCTGTAAACATGACGCTTCTCCATTCCTGAACGCAGGTGTTGTGTGCCTGAGGTGGTGTATATTAATTTATGTAATTATACACAGATGTTACTGATCAAAGTTACAAAAAAAAATGTCTTAGTAGTGGCAGCACAAGCCTCTACACAAACCTACATTTCACAATCTGTAAAATACTTATACTGTGGTACTGTACAGTATGTGCATCTACTGTAACTAACAATTGTATTGCAGTTAAGAATTAGTTTGTTGAAATCATTGGTCAACATTGTATTCTGTATGCAGTTACTTTTTAACCTCATTGAACTCTGTTAAATCACAGCACATTAAGCAGATTGCAGCTCTATTTTTTAGAAGAGAAGAAAAAAAAGAAAAACGGCAGATGAACTTTTTCTCAGCCCTTACAAAGAGTAAGCAGTATACAGAAATGACTTTGAACTCATCAGTTTTTTTCCTCCCTCGGTCTGGGCTTGCTATGTTACTTTGGATTTTGCCAAGCCCTTCAACAATTCGAAAACATGCCACCAGATGCTGAGTTACAAAATCCAAGGACCCGATTCACATTCCACGCAGTGTAGATGCAGGCAATGACCATGAGAGAGGCTTCCAATTGCAGAAGACTTGTCACTTGTGAGAACACTCCACGATCTCAAAGAACACTGTTGTTAACGTGGTGTTCATTAATTTGCTTTAGTACTGTACATAAACACGTGCAATGAGTGTACTTTCAGAACTTTTCTTTTAATTTCACTGAAAATTAAAATGACAAACATAAGGGAAATGATGTGATGTGAAAATACGTGTGAACTTAAAGAGTAATGGTCTGCACATTCGTAAATTTTAAATAGATCCGAGTCTTATTTTTTCCAACAACAAATTGACAGAAGAAATAGCTATCTTTTGACCTGGTTAGGATAGAATTAATTAATTAAGATTTAGCATTAACTTACAAGATTTGGGTAGGAATAAACTTGGCTTGAATTAAAGGTTGAACTGCCTCTCGGTTGCACACTTTCATAAGTTGTCATTTGGGTTCAGGGCAGTGATTGTCACTCCCGTTCCTGGAGAGCACAGCCTTTTCTTCTCAGGAAGCCAAAATCTTAAGGATAAGAGACTTGGAAAAGGTTACGTACTGTAGCGGTTAATAGTAGATCACCAGTTCAGTCATCAGGTGGAATAAAAACTAGAAGACCCATGAATCCCCGGGAAAAAGGTTAATAGTTATCCTTGAGGCTAGGATAAGAGGTGTGTCTAGAATCATTTATTTGGCTGAGTCATTGAACGGTGTTACAATTAATTTGTGCTTCACTCATCAATTCTGGTGCCCATTTACAAAGCTGACTTCGCTAGAGCAGTCCATGAAAAGCTCCTTGCTCAAGCAAACAGCAGCAACGTCCCCACCTGAAATTGTGAATCTCCACTCGAGAACCCAGACCCCTAACCTCTACTCCACAAGCCAAGTTAAGGTTCTACAGGACCAGGATTCATTTAGGAATCGTGTAGGACTGGGTTGTACTGTACCTAGGAGATAACGACTCCGAGAATCAGATTTAAAGTGGAGCTGGGATTAAATCCAAGGTAACAGCAAGTGAAAGTATGAAGAGAATTTGAGGGAATGGGATTCAGAATAAAGGGTTGGGTTAAAAGCTAAAAGTAAACTAAGTTAAAGAGCTAGGTTTCTTCAGTTACTTTGTGCTCTTTCGCCAGCCCCAGATTACAGTGCCATCTACTGCCACAGAATGGTAATGTAAATAGTAACCTGTTGGCACATGACTAGTCCAGGAGCCACATGACTCTATGACTGACCACACGTTCATTTTTTGTTCAATTGTTCAAATATTAAATTTGAAAGAATATAGACAATATTAAGCTCAATTGAAACTGTCTAGATGACAAGCATACTGTAACAGGACACAGGGGAAGATCTTTTCTGACATAATCCTACATTGTATTTAATTAAGGTGCATTTTTGCCTTCCAGTTTTTATGCTTTATAATAATTTTATTCGATTTTTTTACCTAAGCCTTGTAGAAATAAATATCCCTGATCAGCTTGTTATAGAGAAAAAAATTCTACAGTTAATTACAAATACTGTACATCATGACAGTTAAAAAAAACATACAAAAGAACAATATGAGTAATGTTTTTACTCTGGTAAAAAAAGAAGACTGAATCAGAAAGGGACCCTACTCCATTTCTTTAAGGGGATATTGCTACCCAGCCTCTCTCCATGCCTTTATGAGGTGTACTGAAGGTTGTTTGAGAAATTTTAAAGTAAAAAAACAGAGAGAGCATGAAAATCCCACACAGATTAGGAAATCATCCCACTCTGGAATGAAACTCAGGACCCATTAGCTGTGAGATAACACTACTAGTTGCTGTCCTAAGAACATCACTAGCAAATACAAGCAACTAATCCTTAGAACTTTTCAGTTTATGCATTCAATGTAGACAGACTCTGTAGAGGGTCTTTTAATGAAGATGTCAAATCAATATGAAATACTGTATATCTGCAAGGAATTAATCCACTTGACATGAAAACTAGATAGTTCAATAATCAAATCACCACACAATGAAAACATAGGAACTATATAATATTTTAATGAATTTACAGTCAGAACCTATACAAACAATACATTTATAAAATATATTCTGTACATAAAACCATATACACATTTAACAAGATGACTTGAGCTTCCAGACATTTTCAAGACATCATTTATTACACAGGCATGTAGGTTTAACATTTACTTTGCCTTCCAAAAATACAGTGTGCAAATCAAGGTTATTTATTAACATGCTTTTGCTATATATACCATAGGACACACATTATGAAGACAGGCTGCAGTGAAATTACCAGCTTTCTCTTTTTCCTCTTGAACAGAGCAAACCCTTCTTTGTACTGTGGATAATGGCACTAACCTTGCCTATGCCCTACACTGGATTGCAGATAATCAGCTATAGAAAGATATCAAATCCAGACATGTAAGTAATTAATTCAGTGCTGCAATGAAAATTCCTTTTAACAATCTAAAATTACATAATACGGTAGACTGTTGTAGTTTTATTGATAGAATGTTTTTTTAATTGAAACAAATGTGATGTACAACGTTTACAAGAAATCTCGGTGGACAAATATCAGTCGTGATTTCTCAACATAATGATTCCAAACTAGTGTGTATCAAGGTAATTCTCTAGTCTATAGTTCAGACAGACGGCTGTTGACGTTTACTTCTTTCTTTTTTACCAATGATTAAAACTGTTAGCACTCTTAAAATCTTTTTTTTAATCAAATCACTGGGTATCGGTCAATAGAATTATTTTTGTTGCGTGTTCCTTAGAGAAATTAGATCCACTTCCTCGCACTGTAAATACTGTATGATTCACTACTTCTGTAGAAGCAGTCTAAAGACACTCCTTAGGAAAAGCTAAATGCAAAAATACAATGGAAATAGTTTAAAGGTTTTTGTGAAAAAGAAACCTTGCAATCAGTTGCTACTGTACATGTCAATGAAGCTACACTGGAAAATAATCAACAGGAAAAGGAGTACACTTTCTCAGTGTGGAGTGAAAAGATGATACCTGAGACCAATGCCCCTGTTAATGTTTGTTAATCTGGTTGACATACAGAGGCATTCAAAGTATAGTACTTTTAGGTTGGAATAAATATGAAATCTAGCAACTCTAAGCTAAAATGAGAATGACCAAAATGTTTAAAAAAATATACTTACTACTGTAAATATGACCTTTAGTGAGAAAATCCATTTTCATCCAAGAAAACCAAAAAATGCTGCAGAAACCTCTGTTGCCTTAGAACTTCATAGTTCTCATTACTATTAAATTGCATTTAAACTGATTGTTTTAAAAGGACTCTTGAACAAAAGTTGATAAGGATCGGGCTCTTTTGTATTTTCAATCACGCCTCATGAGAATAAAAGCAGCATAACAATGCTACACAGTGTGGATGCTGAAAAAATATGCATGCCAGTTACTAAATCTGTCAGCTTTTGGAAGAATGATCTACTGGCTAATTTACGTACAATGAATGGAACTGTCTGTGCCTCAACACCTTATCTTTGGAGGGTAAGAACTGAAATGTATGAGCAGGTGGACACAAGAGATATGTCAAAGCTTACAGTATGTTCTATTACAATCTGTCTGGCAAATAGAAACCATTATTGTAACAAACCTTCCAGACCAGCAAATCAGTAAAGTTCAGCTTAATGTTTGGAAATTTGTAAATCAATGTAACTTGTGAAATTATGTTTTTTTTTTAAATAATTCAATCATACTGCCAAAACATACAATGACAATGTTCCAAAGTATCTACAATAGAGTCTTATTTTACGGACCAATCTTCAAAATGTTTTGTTCAACAGGAAGGCTATAACACAATTATTGAAAAAGACAATCTAGAATGGCTAAAACACATCTTTGCTTCTCTTTGTTGTGCAAGACATCTTTTTGAAAGGAACACCTCTGTCTGGAATGCAAAGTCACTTGTCAAGAACAGGAAGCTTGCATGGATCCAACACAACCTGAGTTAGCATGAACGTTTCAACACAGTTAAACGTATTCGTAAAGTTGCAATCCAAGCAAATGGAGGAAAACACCATAGACATGCATAAAAAAGATAAAAAATAGTTATTTTTAATAAAAATACATATTTTCCAGATCTGCAGCATTATCTCTTATGCAAATTTCCAACACTCATAAAGTGAATTTTCAGTTGTACAACCATTCTAAACATTTTACACATACACCGTAGACTATACAAGCTGGTTTGAACATACAAAGGTCACCACAAACCCAAATATATCACCTGCCGTTGAATGTGATTTTGCATCAGTCTTTTAAATCTGTTTTAAGCTTAGCAATGTAAGCAATGGTAAGACAAGCTAAGGTCTGTGGTGGTCATTTTTGGTGTTTATTTTCTGACAAATGACGTTCCTTTAAGCCTTTTGCTAATTGTATTTCCCTATTAAAAACACTAAGAATCTGCTAAAAATGTAATAAGGTGAGCTGCTTTTCACTGAATGGAAAGTTCAGTTGCCTCAATAAAGAACGAAGACAAACGTAGTTCATAACACAACAGAATCACAACTACAATATTTAAAATAATTAGGGTTAATAATGATAAATCATCTTATATTCAGAGGAAAATGAATATTTTAGGCTATACACTGTAGGGATCTATCTTGTGAAGACACATTGACTGGTATTTGCATTTTGAAAGAGGAATGTCTTTGCAAAATAAACACCTAAAAGTCAGAACACTAGCTGTATTATCAGAATGTTTCACAGACACCGTAACAAACATTTTGGGAATTCCATTGTTGTCAAGACGCTTACAGTAAGAGTGCTGCCATCAATATTAGGTAGACTATATATACACATACAGTTTATGTATTAAAAATAAATCTCAGATAATTGGAACAGCAATTAAAACAGACAACTTCCTAATAAAGAGGTAACCTGCACAGTAAACATTAAGCACCACTATTCATAAGGATGGTCCTATAAACGTTACCAAGTCAAATCTTACAAGAGAAGTTCAATGCTCTCTAAACAGATAAACACTGATAAAAACAATAGGTTTGCCTTATTTGACAAAGTCCTGAACAAGCTACTTGTAGCTTTCTAAAAGAAGAGGTGGTTACATTGATTCTAATTCACAACAAACAACTGCAGCATTCTTTAAAAGTGAGGAAGATGTCCTTTTTGGCATGCATTCTACAGTGTAACGTTGTATACACAGCACATGAGACTCAAACACATGTATTTAATTACTGAACGTCTCATAGTATACTACAGATGTCCTTGCTGAAGGTCTAAATTAGTGCAAAAACTATACTTTAGTATTTTGTTAGTCACAATCTAAATTCTGACATTTAACACAAAATGTTAAGGTGGTTTTTTTTTAGTAATGTGACTTACAGACTGTGACCAAGTCTGTAACTAGATAAAAACATTTGTTTCATTCCTTTAGGAACAATTCCTTTTTTGGCATGCACTTCTTTAAAATGGGTCAGTTTTCAGATTTAATTCCAAGATTATGATGTAACTAACTTCTTCTGAAGTTGACTTCCCAACCAATATCATTTGTGCTGAATTTCTCTATAAAATGCAGAACATACTGATAATGTACTATTTATAACAGCACATAATAGCAAACATAACTGGTGGTGCTCGTGGGAACACAACATGTTATGATAGGGCTCAGTGTCAGAGATGGGCTTAACTGCTAAACACAGAATCTGCTTATGAACGTGATGCGGAAAAACCAAGAACAGACAGCTTGGCTGCCATCCCCCCTTTAATACAGTCAGAAGCATTAAAATATTTCAAATAGTACTTGACAGAACGGTTTTGAAAAACAAATACAGATCTCATTGGCTTTCATATATCTCTCTGCAATAATATCTGTTAAAGCCATTAAATAAAACACAAAACAAACATGAAAAAACAGAAGACAAACTGAAACATCATAATAATACATAAAGAGAAAAAATTACACAGACCCCTTTGTAAAACATTAGCGAGCTAACCAGAAAAAAGGACACTGATGAAACAAACAACTGCACACACCCCCAGTCGATCATTCTTTTTGAAGAAATACTGAACTGGTGGAAATTTGACCTCTGGGCTGAAAATGCAGCTGGGATCAATAGTGTCAATGGAAGGGAAGGTATCCATCAAATTGGAGTTCTGTTCAGGTTAAGATTCCATTCCACATAAAGCAGCAGTTTCTGTGCACACCAGCAGGGGTGGGGCTGAAATCAGTGGTGTAAATAAAACTGGAACATCTGAGGCATCATCGCCTACAAATAAAGGAAACATTTTATTGTCCTTGAAGATGTATGCCTTTTCAGTTAACTGAAATAGGCGCTTAAAGTACTGTGTTTTCTAAGACTGTAAATAGTGTTTATTTCAGAGATTTGTGTTAATGTGTTGATTATTACCCAGTTCAGACCAATACTTTAAAGGTCCTACCTTTGCCTGACAGTGCCATAGGAGTCAAGCAGCTGGGAGCTGGCCAGTTCCAGATTCCAGTCATACGTCTCTAACATTTTAAGACATTCTGCCCTTGTTTTTAGCCCCAGGCAGAACAGCTGCTCAACCTAAGGGGGGGGGGGGGGGGGGGGGGGACAAACGATTTGAAATACACTGTTTTTGAAAAGGTGGTGACTAGGAAAACAAAAAGTAAATTGTGATACACAACAAGTTATTAACTCGGATATTAACACTACCGTAAGTAACAAGTCTTTATATATCTTTATGAAACAAATATACAGTATATAGGTAGGTGTTATGGTATTTTAATTAGTCTCAATAATCTTTTGTAGTCTTTCTACTAGTCCTTGCTACAGAAAAGTTAAAAATGCAGTGTTAAAGGCTACCTTGAGATAGTGCACTGCCTTCTGAACATTCCAGCCATGATTATGCAGGGCAGCCCGGCACTCTTCTATTGTCACTCCATGGACGGCATCCTGCACCTTCAGACGAGACATTTAAAAAAACTTCAGAACCTCTATGTACACAATTGTGCCTTCAACAATGTTTAATGACCTTCATCCTGAATGTTAAATACAAAACACATTTTTAGTTCCAGGATGAAGGGCTTAAGCACAAGATATAGTGAATCTCATCATCAGTGTTACAACAAACAGGTGTAATGGATGGTATTGTACACGGAAAGTACTGCATTATAGAAGGCAAGGTTACTTACTAATTTGACTTTATCCATTGACCTGGCACTCTCTGATTTTCCAGCCTGTCCATCACAGTTCACTCTCTGAAGGCTGTAGGGCGTTTTCGCTGTGGTTTTGACTCCATGTGTGTTGCTGTTGTTCGAGGAGAAATTAGCTCGAAGGTCTGACTGTTGCATCATGGGCCTCACTGTTGCCGTAGTGACTGTCCTCCTGGAGGAGCTGTCCTCAGGGCTCTCTGCCTCTTTGAAAAACTTCTCGTACTTGTCTAGGTAGGGCGGTCTCTCGGGGAGGAGGTAGTAGTGAGTGCTGCTCACTTTCTTGCCATCTTTTACAATGGGCAAAATGCAAGGCCCCTTGGCACAGTCCTTGCCTTGTGCTTGAATAACTTTGGGTGTTGCGTACTTGGGGTCTGATGCAAAGCTCTGGGTTGTGGGCATTAGTTTGCTAGGGGATGTGGAAAGGTAGGAGCCGAATGACGCTGCTGAGCAGAGGCTGGTCCTTTGCTGAGGTGAACCCACGTGGAGGCTCATGGGACTGGGAGTTCGGGAGTTAGGCTGGGATAAGGGGTCCCGAGGGGGAATCTGCGGGGGTTTGTCCTTGTCCTCCTCGCCCCCTGAGGACGGGGAAAGATCCCCAGACCACCTTCCGTAATCGTTCCGTTTCATAGGTCTTGGGGGAATGGGTATCCTGGGGGGTATCTGGGGCTTGTCCTCAGAGAAGGACAGAACAATGTGCTTGTGCACATCCAAGCTGTTCGGGCTTGGGGAAGAAGGCAGAGAGGTAACCACAGGAACGTTAAGCCTCTTCATGCACTCCTGCTGAAGCTCCTCGAAGATCTCTGCTGACTGGGAGAAGTTATTCTGTGGGTTCTGCCTGCAGGGCAGAAACAGATTGTCCTCCACTTTGGGCTTGTCCACTGTGTCACCCTCTTGTACAAAGCTCACGCTGGGCTCCCCGCTCTCTTTGACTTTTTGGGCCCTGGCCAACCTATATTTGGATGGGTCATCCAGCAGACTGGGCTCAGAGCTGTTAATCGAGGACACCTCAATGTCTTCCTCGTCCTGAGCAACGTCATCATAGGCAGGAGGGGCCGGCAGGGGCTTGGAATCCCAGTCAACTACGGGAGTAGGATGCAGGGGGCGAGGAAGGATACGAGTCGGACTCTGAGGAGGTGTTTTGTCCAATATGGAGTCAGCCTCTAAAACTAACTTCGCTAGCACGGGGATCTGTTTCTCCACAACAGGAGATGGAGTGGAAGGGGGCACTTCCTCCTCAAAGTCAATCAAGGATACCTCGTTAGCGCCCGCTGACCTAGCTCCGCAGCTCTGCCGGTCCCCTGTCTTCGTTGCCGAGACCCAAGCGGCAGGCTTCGCCAGTTTCAGCCCCTTGACTGATCCTGGCTTTTTCAGGTACAGTTTCTTGAGGCCTGAGGCTGTCAAATCGTCCTCTTCTGTCACGGGGTCATAACAAGGCTCTAAACCCCAAAGAAAAAAAAAAACATTTGCTCACTGTGATGATTTTACTACATCACAACAGTCTTTCCTGAAAACACTTGAGCTAATAGCCAAGCTTCAAGACAGCAGACTGTTGTAATGTGTACCAGTCACACCAGTGACCCTTTTAAGTTATTTTTTATTCCCCCCAGTTACATCTAGTTGTTTTTTTACACTTGACTAAACGCATCATCACTGCATGCATAATGTGTAGAGCAACAGATGACACAGAGCTCAGAGTTCTTTAAACAGTATGTATAATCTATCTGGAAAAAATAACACCACGCACTTAAATCTTTTGGCACGTTCATATGAAATGATGGCGCAAAAGGTCATTAGTTCATAGAATGTTAATTCACCACGCGACAGAAGCACAATAACAAATTACAATTAGTAGAATCATTTAGTTTTCACCCCCGTTAATAGCAGTTCTAACGCTGTGAATCCAGCGCAGTGTCTAGTGCAAATTTAAGGCTGCAAACTGCTGCAGACCAAGCACAAGATTCACTCCAGTCCAGGCCAATAGGTAAGGAAGGTGCACAGTGTACCTTTGAAGAGTGGAGCTAGTCTAGAACAGAGAGGGCAGGAACAGTGTTTGCACCAGACTGAGCGCCCACACTTACTCTTGACAAGAATCACTGGCTGGGGGGGGCGAGGTGGGGGCTCCTCTGGAAAAAGCCACAGGGCGTAAAGATAAGGAATAGGTGAAACAGAACAGAGGGAGAGAGAAAGAAAAAGAGTGAAAAGAGACTGCCATGTTATTATCGAGCCGGCACAATGAAGGACGTGGAGAAGAGATGGAAATATCTAGCTTATTAAGTCGCACCTAGAAGCTCAAGTGCAGGTAGGATTCGAGTGGCAACAGGACAGTGAAGGAATACTTGACCAATTCATCAGAAAATGCACTATATAATCATTGGTATTAGTATTATCATTAGTATTAGGTTAAACATTTACAGGTTGTGATGACAGTATCTTTCCATACCTGACTACCAACTACCAAATACACAACTGTACCCTTGAATTTATCCCTGAATCGAAAAGAATACTTTTACCACTATTCCAATAACACAAAATAATAAACAAGACAAACTCATTCAACATTCAACATCAGTTAAATCTTAAAGAGAAAAATTGTATGCAGCTATTCTTTACAATTCATGGTAACCATGCTAATTAAGAGGTATTATGCCTTTATGGGGTCCAAAAGAGAAATCAAGCACAACCAGTAAAGAATGCGACATGAGTGGTTCCACATTACAACAGGCATTCTCACTTTTCGCCCGTCCTGGTAGCTGAGTTGGTCTGGCGGTGTTAAAATCCATTCCCAGCACGTCTGGAGGATCCATGGGATTGCCCAGATACAGACTGCAAGAACAACAATGAACAAGACTAACATCTTCCTGAACTCCGAGGCTGAAATCTCCAGCCACTAAATGAAGAACAATTCCATTCCTTTCAGAAGGTAACAATGGGTGACTGCAGGAGGAGCAGGTTACCCATTCTGATGGGTTTTCTGGTTTGGGATGGTGTTTCCACACATGCTACATGCAATGCTGGTCATCAATGGCACTGCCTACTTACGTCAGTAAATTTAAGGTGTCTAAAACAGCCGATAATTAAGAGTGACTGTCTTAAGTCCTGAGCAGTGAAGATTGCAAGAGGTTTTCATACATGCATTCAAAACCGTGAGAAGTGCCAACAGTCAACCCACTAGATTACCCTACTTTTTGGCACATAAGCAAGAAAACAAGGGCACAACTGGAGGTTATGAGGAAGTGTTTTTAGGACAGAGAAAGGGAGACACTTTTTCACACAAATGGTGGTGGAGTTTCCCAGAAATCTTCTGAAAAGGGCTGGGTGAGATCTTTAGGTGGATAAGCTACTAGCAACCAAACAAGAATAAAAGGTTAAGTGGGATCCTCTTGTTTGTAACGTTATGTTGCAATACTTAGAACTGTATAAGCACCAAGAATTGCATAAGATGTTCCAAATATGTTCCAATAATAATTGCATATTGCATTTGAATGCGTAAAACATTACTCTAAGAGTTAAGTGTTTAAATAGTCTTTTAAAACATAAGAGAGAGAAATTCTGGGATGTGTAAATTAATCAGAAAAATACTTTGCTACCCTCTAGTGGTGTACAGAAAAAGGAAGATTTGAGGATTTCCTTAAGTGACCTGGCCTACAAGATGTTGGAATCTCAGGACAGCAGCTGTTCCTCTATTTCTTGAGGCAAACAGCCACAGAAATAACTGCCAAAAGCAATTCAAATTGATGTGGCGCCAGATCTCAAAAAACAGATCCTGGAAAGTGGCAGATCAAGGGAATCGTGGGAACATTTTGAAGTAAAAAATTGTTTTACTGTATAACTGCTAAGAAATAACTGATACCATTCTCATATGATGATTATCATCATTTACTACAGCCTAGTATATGAAAGAGCTGAATGCGCATCTCTGCAGAAGTGAGGCACTTACTCATCGATCTTATCAGGGAAACCCCAGCTGCGGTGAGGGTTGGTGTCGCCATGACCTGTGTGAATGAAGCTGTTTTTAAGTGGTCGGCTAATATCATGCGCTGACAGTCCAGCCACTGAGGTGACAGTGTTTCTGGGAAACTGGCTGACGTTCAGAGTCCGTTTGTTCTGGCCCCTCCACCAGTAGTTTTCAGCCCTAGATTCCAAACAAAAAATAATAAAACAAATACCTAAAAGCACTACTCCACCGATAATAAAGATTTGGTGTTTGTTTCACAAGCATTATCGCCTTATTGCTAAACATTGATACTAATGATGATAAGCTTTTATTTAACTTGTCTGTGAACAATGTGTACTTTTGTTTATACTGTAATGATGACTGGGGAAATTATCCATTTTTACAGCACAGCATTTTACTGAAGAAATCAGACTTAAGTACCTTGTCAAGTTAAGTATCTTGTGCCTTGTCAGTGCACAAAACTGACTTGAATCCATAACCTTCTAGGTCCACATCTGAAGCCCTAATACTACTACAAGCTGCAGCCTAAGGGTTAAGAACCCAGTAAGAATATTCCAAATGACATGACACTTATTAAAAGGTAGGATAAATAATAAGGCACAAATGCAAGGTTAATATCAAAGGACCTTATAAAAAACGTACAGACTTTCAATTCTGAGTGGAGATTAGACATTTTGATTCATTATTTGCTACTATGACAGAGTAACCAATAACCAGTATAGAAAGCCTCAGACCTGATAGGAGAAATCACAGCAATTTCTGTTAACAAGTTTTTATGAAGTGACTTTTTCAGCCAAAGATCAGATGCCACTAGTCTTCCCATTAGAACATGCTTACTATTTCTTTCCATTTAATATCCAACAGTACATTCAACTTGAAAGAGTAAATTACAGGCACCAAACGGTGAGATGCAAACCAGAGCTTGTTTTATAAACTAGCGTTCACCAGTACAACTTTTTCAGAATTATACCAAATGTTAATGCTTTGTAGTTTGACTTATGCTCTCACTGTTCCAATGGCTTAACAGCTTGCTTAACATGAGGATTCTTCTAAGTCGAGCAGCTGTTCAATTTGACTGCAGTGCTGTTGCCCTTGTGGTCTGGACATGTAGCACATTCAAAGCCAAGAAAATTAAAGTAACCAGGCCATGACATTTAAATGGTATTTTAAAACTCCTTAACATTTGAACTCAAGGAAACACAAATTAAATTCAGGTTAATATATAAATTACTTTTCCACTTGAAATCAATGTATTGCCTTTACATTTTAATGTATTAAACGCAACTTTGTTATATGTATATTAGACCGACAATTATACTGGTGTCTTTTGACCTTTAATGCATGCAGCACTAACAGAAAACTTTATGCCCCTTTCAAATCCACACTTTAATGTAAGAATTAACTTGGAGACTTTTATGACAAAGATCTGGCCCAACAGTTTTAGAAAAAAAAAAGTAAACGGAAACTGCAAGCTCACAGACTCATAAGATCCAATCCCACTTTTTTGCATATGACGCCACTCACACTATGTAAATGTTTCCCTAGCAATTTGCATGCAATTGTCCGGTTGAATGCAACCTCCATAGAGGAAGTTCAGGCGAAACAGCTGTGCTTTGAACACCTACCTGCCTTCAATGATGGTGATGACATCATCAATCTGAATCTCGAGCTTGTCAGGTTCCTCAAAATCCTGCAGTGCCCGCATGTCTGTTGGCATAGTCTGGCAACACAAACAACCAGAATAACGACCACTTCTAAGTTTGTAGATCTTAAAAATAAAGCACCAGCAGCAGAGCTGTTGTAAGGCTGAAACACAATGCATACAGTATACGCGTACAGATTTGTACACCAATGTCTTCAACTCACCTCCACCAGGAACTCCCGCAGAGCGACAAAGGTGGGTCTGTCATCTGGCTTCTGGGCCCAGCACTGCAGCATCACATTGTAGATATCCTGCGGACAGTCCTCTGGCTTAGACAGCCTCTCTCCCTCTTTGTCAATCTTATGGAGAATCTGCAAAACATTGCCCATTTTAAAAGATAGTTGTTTGTCCACTGAATCCTATCTGCACATCTATAAAGCAGAACATACAAAAAAACTATTCATATTTTTTTTATATGTCACCATAATTTACATTATTTTATTTCTATAGTCCATGATGCAAATTCCATTTGTCTCCTGATGTGTGTTGAAGCAAACTGAATTTAGTCAGGGAATGAATCCTGTGCCGAACCACATGAAACTAATCATCCTTCTCAATCCTTCCTGAGGATTTCCAACACCTGCAAGATCGCAGGACCTTGAGGCACAGATCTGGATGTTGATGACCAACGGCCTGCTCTCTGCTGTTTTTGATACCTGGCTGCCATTGAGCCCGAGCCAGGGCTCCTGTCCGTATGTAAACATCTCCCACAGGGTCACACCAAACATCCAGGTGTCACTTGCATGAGAAAACGTGCGCGTCTTCAGGCTTTCAGGGGCACACCTGTCGCGCAAACCAAACAAATCTGTTTATCAAATGTGACAATGAATGTGCACGCTGGTACAAAGCAGTCTCTCATTGATTAAAATGCAAAACATATGGCATTTACCAAGTACACTGAGCAAAGTTAACAAAGGCATGAAACATGCAGGACAAAAAAACAGGCACTGTGATGGTGCCACAGTTCACAATTACTGCCTTAATTCAAACAAACAGCTTTCAAGGATCACCTTGAAAAAGCCCAGGGTTTTCAAGGACCAGCAATATGAGTGGACTCACAGATTGCCCTGCCTATTCTGATAACCTTCCAGTGCTGCACTCATGTATTATTCCAGAGGTGGAGAAGCAGGGTCTTACCATGCAAAGGGGACCTTGCGGTGTTCCTGCATGACATAGTGATCGTCGTTCTTTGGCAGTGCCCTCATGAGTCCAAAGTCACCGATCTTTACCAGGTCATTGGCTGCAAGCAGGATATTACGGGCAGCTAAATCTCGATGGATGAATCTTTTTGACTCCAGGTAGGCCATTCCATTGGAAATCTGGATTGCATACTGGCACAGTGTTGATATCAAGAAATGCCCTTGGTTTTTTCTCAGACGGTCCAACATGGAGCCTAAAGGGGCTAATTCCGTTACCTAATTGATGAAAAAAAAGGATCACAGCAGAAAATAGGTTCAGATATAAATACAAATATTTCATGTCAATTTCTGCATAGGTTATATAAAATTCAAGGGAAGAGAGCAATATTTTCCATAAAGAGAAGGTCCATAATAACTACAACTGCATCATGTTTTTTAAAAGTAATTCAAACTATTCTAAAATTATACAGTTAAATAAGATTAACATACTCTACTACTCTGTTGCGGCAAATGTATCAGTTTCTTAGTGTAATCTCAGTTTAAAAAATAAACTCAACCACAAAACAAAACAAAAAAGGTAAAATGGCAAAAATAATGCTTTTGGAGAAACATGAAGCTGTAGAGGCCCGGAAAACTGAAACAATTTAGTGAAAAGAGCATTCACTAAGAATGATGCAGCTTACACTGCTGCACCTTTCTTCTAAGGCAAAGACACTGATAATTGTTCAGTGTTGCCTCACAGATTTGATCTAGATTTTGAAAGGTGCCACGGTGCTTTTAAGAACGGCTCTTAGCTTACCATTTTCATAGGGTGTGTGAGCACAACCCCATACAGTCGTATCAGGTTCTGATGGTCGAGGGAGTGCATGGCATTCACCTCCCGGATGAAGTCATCCAGTGCGTCAGGCTGATTGAGGACATCGGTTTTCAAGCATTTCACAGCAACGTGGATCTATAAATAGAGCGTAAGCTGTGAACAGTCTAGCAAAGCAAAGAACCCACTAAAAGAAACAGAACTGGAGTGTAACAAGAAGTTCCTGCCAAAAAACCAGAGCTACAGTAAATGCGCAAAAAAATGCTAAAAAAATAACTGTTCACACCACTTGCGAAGTTTCCAGTTCATTTCAAGTCTAGCTTATTCCCCTGTAGATCCATTGGCATATTGTCATATTTTCATCCCCAGGCGTTTACAATTCTATATGTTTCTTTTCCAAGTAAAACTTCAGGGACTTTATTTCAGTTGAATGATTTGAACTCAGCAGATGGGAGTGGAACATATTGCACAGCAAAGCCAGAATTCCTAATGCTCCCAAAGTGATACTGCTTTTTACTATAATCGGCATACAGACACATTCAGCCCAAGGCCGAATTTGTTCAGTATATAATTTAAGGGTGGACACTGAATCCTGAACATGACATAGGAAAACAATGCAGAAACCTGGGGATCGCATGTCCCAGCGCTGTAAAAAGTCAAGTAGATTCTTACTATTTTAAGCAGGGTAGAAAAATAACCCGTACTAGAGCTAGGGACGATTTTAAAAGTTGAATGACAAAATAATATCTCATAAGCGATACAGTTTCTTCCTGTCTGTTACCCTGCCTCACATGGAATGAGAATTACATGTGTTACAGGAAGGGTGCAGACAGATAAGTGTACTGCAATGTAAATCTAGCCTGGTCATCTATATACGGTACATGATACATCAGGTCAGACGGGGTCAGTGAAACTCTAATAGGCAAGACACCAGCCTAAGTAACTGCTAGCATGACTGACTGGGTATCCCTATTGAATTCTGTGGCAGAGAGAGGGGGATAAACCTACATCTGCAGAAAATAGCACCTAGGGGTGTGAAAGCACAGCTCCCTGACATAATCTTCATCTCCGAGGCTCAGGCCAGACCAGAAACCAGATTTAGACCGTTGTCACAAAAACTTGTTTTTAAAAAAACTAAGCAAAACAGCTTCCCACACAGGGCTTCTGTTCCGAATTTGGTTTTTCAAACTCACCACTTTCCCGTTGGGAGCGGACCACTCCCCACGCTTGACCACTCCGAAGGAGCCGTCACCCAGCTTCTCGAAGAGAGACAGGTCCTTCTCGCTGATGAGGCAGGTGAGGGCCTGCTGGCCCTCGGGAGGGGGCGGCGTGGAGATTTTGCGGAAGGTGGTGGCCGGCTGGGGCTGGAATTCTGACTCGGGCCTCTTCCCACTGAACACCTGAGGAGGCAGAGAGAGAGGCTGCAGCTGAGAGTGATTCCATCTAGCTCGCTAAAATCCGCCTTTCCCAAAACAGACCCAGTGCAGCAGCTGAGAGAAGCCGGCATGTCACTAAAAGACAGACTGGTCAAGGTTAAAACTTAAGCTCGAAATCGCCCCTTATTTTTTTAATGTCATTTATTCATTAATGATGATAATGTGAAAGTTACAGTATATAAATGTACTGTATACTGCAGGGTACACATTCACACTATAAATACACAGGCTAGATCTTCTGAGAAAAAATATCTAGTCTAGTCAATGAGTTCTAATAACATATCTCTTGTTTTCTCCGAATATCTTATCTGTAATTAAAATATTTTAAAGCCACTTTGTAACACGAGACACGTCATTGAAGGATGAAAGAACATTCTTGCACCGAGCAACCAACAAGTTATTTCTCAGCAGATTTTCTTAAGTGGAGCCCTCACTCCCTCCCTCCAGGCCTTGTCAGTTGAAGGCGATGAGGTGCTGGCTGAGTGGAAGCAGACTAAAGCACAACAATTCATTATACTTAGCAGCCAACCCACTTATCATAAAGCAGGCCAAATGAAAAGGGGGAGATCCCTGCAACTTTATCCCAACACCACTTACAGCTCTGCGGTATCAAACCATCTTGAACAGACGTGTGCTTCACAATAACATTGGCAAAGGGGGGACAAAAGTTTAAATTCTAAACAATAAACCAACAGCTACTTGTTACTTGGTTGCTACCCTAAGAACACAAAGTACAGACTGTTCATTATTCTGTGATGACGAACATGAAGTTTCAAACATGTTTTTCCCAGACATCTGCACAATGCTTTAGGCTAACGTCAAGTGTTCTGCAGATCTAGTGACTGGGTGCCTGAGGTCATAGATGAAGTTTTCTTTTTTTTTTTTTAAGATTTAAGAATGCAGCTTTGCGCAGACAAAGCCTTGAACCTGCAGCGACTCCCCTGATAACAATGAAGCTAGTGCTTCTCTACCCTGGGCTTCAGCCGGGCTGGGGGCAGTGTGGTGGGAGAGGGCACAGATTACTGAGCCACAGATCCCTGCTTGGAACAGAAACAAACCCATGTAATTTTAGAAGCCTATCAATCCCTTGCTTCCTGTTAGGCTGTCTTGATGCCAGAAACGGGCAAGCCACATTTGGAAGTCCCTTCTCTCACGGGTCTGAACACACAGCACCCAGGTCCACAAAGCAAAGACAGCATTAAAAAAAAAGTATATATCAGCTTGAAATTCTGCTTCCATTACTTTCTTAGAAAACAAAACAACCAAGAAGTGCCTATTGTTATCTGTGGTCTGTCACACTTGTCAACTAACACTACGAAGAAGCAAGCACGACTACTACAGAACCCTGCTGATTCCAGACCTTCCCAAGTCATTACAATTTCAGAAAAGAAGCCTTGAATTCCGAATGAAGACATCACCATTTTCAATTATTTCTTTTTCAGAATTAAAAATACTGATCTCATTTATCACGAAATGAAGGTTTTGTGCTTGAAACTAATTTTATTGCTCCTTAAGCATAATTACCAGGCATGAATCACAAGACTGCACTCCTTAAAGGTAAAATACTACTATATTGTAACGTTATTCATATTTTAAAATCATACATTTTTTTTAAATCGAAGCGATAGATAAGTGGTAGTTAAAGCGTTACTGAACATTTCCTGTTACACAAATTCAAGGAGAGGTAAACGTAGAGTAAAACATGAACAGGCAGTGAAGAATATTAATTCCTTACACACAGAAGAGAATTTGAAATCAAGTGGCTTTAAATTGTATTAAGCTGTATTGCAACAAAAGGCAATAAATCTGTGTTAGTTTCCTGGCACACTGAGATTTTACAGTATACTGTAGGATCTGAAGGATACTGTACTGTACTAAATGTTTGTCTCCAGAAAAGTCATTATAAACCACTCCATACCTTGCTCATCCAGGACTTGCGTTTGCACATTGCTTTCCTTCTTTTGACAGCCTCCCACAGACGTCTCTGGCCTTCAGAAAGAAATAACACAAACGTTGCGGTCAGCCAGACTGTTAACACCCATAGAAGAAACACTTTCCAGGTCAAATGAGGTACTGAATTTGGAATTTTCTAATTAAGGCATTTAAGTTAAGTCAAGTTTTAATGGCTTGGCATAAGAACTGCAGAAAGGGATATTTGTTTTTTGAAAATCTCTTTATATTGTCAATTACAGAACCAATTTTTGCTTTGCTGCCTATGTGGTGATAGTTGTACCATTATTAAACAGAGAAATGCAGCCTTTAAACGTAAAAAATTAAAACTTTTTTTGGCAAAGAGTCCTCCATATCTGTCTGGTTATCTTAAGAATGTGCTTTTGTGTTCATTGTTTTTTTTTTACCAGATCTTTTTAAACCATGATAAAACTGGAACATGCAAACGTTTTAAGGCAAACATTCTTGCAGACTCAAAAGGTCACACAAAGGCTGTTGCAGAAGGGAGCTTGCAGATTGCAAACATTTTGGAAAGAGGCAGGAAACATTCACAATGGGATCCAACCCACAGGAAGCAGGTGCTTTGCTCAGATGAACTAATGTTTGCTTTCTGAAAGCCAAATGAGGAGACCTGAGCTAATCTGCTTTATATAAATGATGCCAAGATTTTTTACTCACAGCATCCATAGAGCCTTCAAAATCCCCAAACCACAGCTGTTTACAATATACTTTACAGCGCTGAAGAAACGTTTTTGAGCCCCCTAGGTTGGTCCATATTCTTGTCTATTTTAGATCTACAACATAATTAGATCTTCATGAAAGTCTTTATCAAAAAGCTGAAGATAACCACAAAGATATCAACTATGTTTTTATTATTTCATTAACAAAACGATGCAGCAGCAAAAACCTTGCATAAAAAGGAATGTGAACCCTTAGAATTAGTGATCTTTGGCACTTCCTTGAGCAGCCATTATTTCAACTAGATGTTTCCTGTAAATGTTCATCAGTCTCGCATTGGCTTTTGTTAATTTCATTCCCATTCTTCCTTATAGAACTACTTCAAGTCAAGCTTTGGAGTGTGTGGCTTTTCCTTCCCTTCCTTTCTCTTCTGTTTGCAGCAGTATGGGTTTTATGACTCCACAACCACCAACAAAGGCTCTTACATTCCACACCGGGTGACACATAGGGCTGAAAATTGTCAATAGCAGTAGCCCTCGTTAGCTAAAACCTGAGAATCATGCTATTGTCATTTACATTTCCTTCTCAGAATCCATAGTGTTTACCACGAGTCTAAAGTTCTACAAATGACATAGTTTTTACAATGATATTTCTGCCTATACTTATGCAGGCCTTGAGATGGTGTGGCACTTTTGACATCCAATGACATTTTACAATGTAATTATGAGTATACAGTAGCTCATTTTTACTAGTTATTTCTAACTCATTATTTGCATTATATACAGTACTTGCCCTTGTCCTTCCATATTTTTCCAATGCTTTACAGTACATGTCCTCTTACTCTGATTTTTATTTCCACCTGACTCTGTCAGAATGCAATCACCAATGAGTCAACATTTTTTTTTTCCAGTTGTGTAGCCGACTTTACGATAAAAAATAATTGCACAACAATTGCACAATTGCCGAAAAATCTTTCTGAAATCGGATGAAGTAAAGGCCAAATGAACCGTCGCTTTAAACCGGCATTTTTCGGTTCACAATTTTTCTGACAAGACTTTTTAGAAGGTTTACAGCTACTGGATTAAGTAACACCCACCCGGCCGACCCATTCCAATCTTCTCCAAGTCCTCATTCTTGACGTAGTCAAAGTGAGAGAGGCGGGTGACGTTGAGGTCGTCGCGGATGCGCAGGAAGTACTGCTGCAGCTGTACCTCCATCAAGAGTTCCAGAAGCCACTCCGTCCCCTCATCTGACTGCATGCTACTGCCCAGCTTCTGCCGAGGAGCACACAGAGAACAACATCACAACATGCCACACTGTCACGTGCGCTCAGCAACTTTCAGTTACATTGCGAAAACTGGTCTGTTCTAGAGATACAAATTATTGCCGCACTGACACGTCCGGTTGCAGGTGGGATTGACACCAGAAGCCTGACACTTTTTGTTCAGTATCTGACCTTTTTTATCAATAGCTGAGTTGTTACACGTTATTTCGAGATTATTGTAATTCTTTTATACACAGTAAATACTCACCTGTAAACATCTAGAAGCTTGCTTTCATTCAAGTATGTACTGCACCATTTTGTAGTGCTGAAAATTATTCTCATTGGCATAATCCAGCCATTTTGGTAGGAGTTAAGATAAGGAAGTAGATTTCCCTCCCTTTTCTTAGCTTTCTTGTTCAGCACACAGGACATCAGCTGCTTTCAATTACTTTGCAATCCCCCACCCCAGCCCTCTCCCTGTGGCCACTTCAGATTCAATCGCGTTGAGAAGGATACTCTGGAGTACTTTGTTGAACATTGTTCATCACAGCTGTGCCCCTGTCACAACCCCTGACACTCAAGAACCTGAGGTTTCTTAATGGGGTGACTGAAATGTCAGAGGCATTTGTGTTTGTTATCTTTAGCTGTTATTTCTGCTTGCAAGCTATACTCAGAGTAAAAAAAATAAATAGTTCCGATGTATAATTTCATACAGCACCTTCCAAACCTTTTTGGCCATTAATAATCTTTCAAACAAAGACAGCATGTTATGTCATGGGGCTACATGCACAGTGTACACTGAACCTACCCTCCATATCATTCCATTATTGTCCGTAATGGAGCTGGCACTGGATGGTAGTTACTTTTTAGGCATTACCAAGTCTCAAGGGGCCAAACAAGCTTTGTCTGAGTAAAGTCAGTCGACATTTATTTTCAGCGGCACTTTGGCCACTGTACTATAGAAGCTAGGGTACAGTACAGAAAACAGGGTCAAGGAAAGTGTGATTACAATTAATTTAGCCCAGATGATCCACTTGCACCAGTAAATTTGATTTTATTGTAGCACCTCTTACCAGCCACTGAGTTGGTGGGCTCATCCTGAATAAACAAATCTGCCAGTGGTTGGCTCAGGCCTTGGGACCACTGTGTTGTTTATCTCCATGGAAACCTCCTGTCCCAGAGAATCCAAGTCACGAATCCCTGTCATACACAGCAGCTTTTTATAGATGGAATTATGCAGCTCCAGTCTCACTCACAGGGATTGCATTGAGGTACTCGTATTTTTTCAGACAACATCTTAAAACTAGCTGGCAAAACAAATCCTAAAAATCTGTATTAATTTAAAAAAAATTAAAGCCAAGCTTTAAAGCCAATGTTGTCGAGTCCTGAGTGGAACATTACCTTCATGTATACAGTATAAAAAAGCATCACATGTCAAGATACAGCAGACTGAAGCAAAAAAGTAGATTTGATGAAATGTGAAACTTGTTTCTTCCACTTTTTTTTTACCTAAAGATGACACTGTGCTTGTAAAATTGGTGTGTATTTAGGACAACATTCCATTTCCAAAAAAGCACGGAGAACAATGTTGTCTTGTGTCTTGCTGGAGTTCCGGTGGTAAAGAGACAAGGGTCAGGTCAGGGGTCAAAATGATCCCAACGTCTGCCCTTTCTTGTTAAGCAGTCAATGGTCTTGCCAGTCAGAAGATTGCATCCTACTGCCCATGATCGTAATGAATCAGAGACGTTGTCAGCACTAAGTTGAAGCACACTCATGCTTGACAGAAGCACTGCTTAAAGGGAATGTTTCACTTTCCCTCCACAAGCCTCTGTCTCCCTTCCCTTACAAGGGCCAGCTCAGAAATGCACTGCCTGTGGCCGTCTAATCACAATGGCCCTGTGGCTTTTGGACAGCCAGGCATTACTGTAAAGAAGCACTGCGAACACACGCTGAAGGTATGATACAATGCCTGTGATTACACAGCACTTAGGTCATAATGAAACAGTTACTGTACCAAAAGTAATGGCTCAGCATTTCTCTCAGCACCTTTCACAGTATAGCCATTATGTTCTTTATACGTCTCTCAAAAAACAAAACGAACATCATGTTGGCTGAGACCAAATAACCAAATAACAGTTCACGAGGGTTGTGGTCAAAATAATATTTTGTTAGTTGAGAATTTTCCTTTAGATGACACATCCATAAAAGGCATACATACTATAAATCCGACTTCCTAAACGAAAACTGGAAAATTGGTTGGATCACCTGAGATTGCAAATAGCTTCCACATAAATCTCTTCATCATTCATTTAGAGCTGGCATATCTAAGCCACTCCCTGTTTTTATTGACCCACATCCCGAAAACAGAAAGCAGATGAAGGCAGTCAAACACAGTAAAAAGTAAATTCTCCAAGAATTAATGGAGGAGGTTTTCAAATGCGTCGGGCAGAAAAACATTTTTTTCAGACCCTTAGAAGTTCCTGTTTATGGCGCTAACTGCAGCTGTTCACAAAAAGAAGACGAGAAACTAAAACATATCGATGCACAATGTGTGCTTTTCAAAATTCCGTGGTACTGGCGGAAGCTGAACATACTTTTTGTCCTGTGCTACTTTTGACACTGGTGTGGTGAATGTAAAATCATTAGTGCCTGTCTCTCAGAGGGTTTCCTGGCCATATAGTACAGCACCATTAAGAGACAAATGGCCTCTGACTGCAAATTGTTTGGGACTTTAATAAATCACCTGGTTTCATTCTTGCAGACAACATCCTCATCAGAGGAAACACCATTTGTTCATTTCTCATTTTGAGACTTAGTGTACTGATTAGGCTGTTTTGCATGAATATTTACAGCACGCAAACATTACAATTGTCACAAAAATATAGTTGCATCTACTCTCACTTTCAAACATGCAGTTGACTGAGAGTGAATAATCTTATTCCAGAGGTTAAGACAACAGGTGAACATCTATCCTTAATGTACAGAGGTCTGAAAAGGACTTTATCTTTCATATACAGTATTAGCAATGTATACAACTGCAGAATATATACATTTAGCTAACAAAAAATAGAAGTACTGCATTGATTTCCCATGAAATCTGCATCTTTTAATCAGAATATACTGTAGAATATACTCTTACAATTTCATTCCCATTATTTGATTTCAAATGTGAAAATGACATTACTTAGCAATATTATTTTTAGCTTGAAATGAAAAGAAATAAAAATATGTGCAAGAAATCACTGAGGTGGAATTAAAATAGCACACTATTACAACGAAAAACAAATGTACATGATAAGACATTCACATATAGTACATGCTATTCCATAAAAAGAACTGAAGTGAACATTTGATAATTCAGGCTAAGGTACAGTGGGGCCAAAGTGTGCTTCCAAAGTAAGAGGCAACATACTGTATTGTGTTCTCTGAGACACAGAAAACAGAACAAATGCGATCTTTTAGAAAGCAGACTGCAGAAAAAACAATCAATCAACGGAGCATTAAATACATAAGCTGACTTGAAAGAATTATTGCTGTATCAACGTACAGTAAGCCATTAACAAGAGCATAATCTTCCTGTCTTCCGAAAGGATGTTGTACAGCATGGTGTTGTCTTACAAAAGTACTGTTTTACTGTAAGCCCATGTCCAAAGAACACACCCAATTAATGAGAAACAGCCACCAAATTGTACATTTACTTCAGTGGTATTTCTAGAGTAGGCTTTTAATGATGTTTAGATCATAGTATGAATAAACTGCTTACTGTGTTTCTTTTCTAAATTATTTTCTTTCATTGGGACATTCAGGCATTTTATTTGCACATTATGGAAAGAAACGCAAACCCTTTTGATAAACCAAAACCATCATAACTCCAACTTACTCGATACACATGAAAATGTGCAAAAAAGGGGATTGATTTCTTCAGCTTGTCAAAGCGACGCATCCTTGCTCCAGGGTTATGCGGTGTTTGTATAAAAACACACTCAATGTCTGAACCCTTAGCATCAAGGTCGGAAGAATTCAGGCCTGAGATTCTTCACTGCAAACAAAGAATTTCCTGCTAACCTACACAGAGAAGGTAGTTCAGAACTCATAAAGAAAAAAATCCATAAACACAATTCCCCTCCCAAGGATTCCATTTTTTTAAATCGGGTTCACCATCAGATTCCATTAAATGGTCCACAGTTAGAAAGTCCCAAGAGAGACTGTTAAAACCTTGTTTTTTTTAAAAAAGCAGCATCTTCAGATCCAGTCCATACACTTCCAAAGTCTTGTAACCGGACTGGCACTTCGCATTCAGATTGACAACTCATGAAACCCCCAACATTCCTTGTAGCTTTTCCTGCAAATGCCCTGTTTTGTACTTTTTTCCCTTTCTTCAATTCATATATCCAGTCCATAATTCCCTACAAATAGAAGCACAGCCTATTCTAGCGGTCTCTCTTTTGAGATCTGATCTTGCTTCTGATGTAAGCGAGGAAAAAAAAAAGCTTTCTCCACTTTGGATTGCCTGTTACTTCTTTTAACTAAGTTGGCTATATCTTCTCCCCCTGCCTGTCTGCAGCAGTGTGGTTTTGTAATTCCTGCGTTAGGCAGCTCCCGACAGCACTGTATGTGCCCCCTGTCCTGCTGCCTGCCTAGTTTAGCTTGCTGGTTAAACAGAGACTCTATGGTATTCGGATGGAATACTATTTGATCAAAAGCCAAGAGGTCAGATTTAACTGCAGGATGGAGAGTTCATTTCCTGTGGGCCCCCTTCTCTCCCTCTCTCTCTCACTCACTCTTTTTCTGCACTACTGTAGTCTCCACTCCCCCGCAGCCCAATATATCTTATTTTGTTCTTGTTTAGTTTCCTCTTTACGCCTTCCCCAAAATGTTATCTTTCTACACAACAATGTAAGTCCTGCTTGTACTATGGAGTGGGCTTTCCTTTGTCAGCATCGCTTTTTGTTCCATTCGTTCACATTCTCAACCTTAAGTACAAGCCATAAAGTAAAAAGTGGACACAAGCATGGCACAATATGCAATGAAAAACACCAAAAGAAAACTAAAGGTATAAAAAAGAATGGTTTGCAAGGGACTTTTCGAGTCATTGGAAGTGTGTAAAGAAGAATGGGAATTCAGATTTTCGGAACTGAAATTTCACAAGCATTAGCCAAGGAATAAGATCATTGTTCATGACGATGATCAGAGAGACTTATCTCTTTTGGAATGACTGTAGCTGGATTTTTCCAATATACTGTAAGTTCACCAACACAAAACTAATTTTCCATCATGATAAATGACAGCAAATGTACAGTTAATGTCACTAAATGCCATTCCATACAAGTAACAATAAATGCAATAGCACGGTTGACCTTTTAAAATAGTCTCCTAAATATGAAAGAACCATTAAAATTACATACCGTAGAAAGAACATGTATTCACAGGTCCCAAAAGTCTACCTAAATCAAGTTGTCTGCTAGTGTTTCTGCATGTAATACTTTTGTAATATATGATACTTTACGTTTAGCAATCATAATGAATGCAATAAAACATCTGAAACTGGAAGGCATAAGGAAGCAGTTTGTTTCCATAAAAAAAAAATACAAATGAAAACAATGCCAATGCAAGCTGAAACCAAATTTGAACCCAATTTAAACTTCCTGCAAAAGGAGTTCTGCTGCAGATTCCATCTCCAGAGAAAGCGTAGCCCAAAGTCCCTTTCTTGATATATATTATGTGGAACTTGTTTAATTTATTAAAACTTATTCTGTCTTTGTCCAGCTTCACATAATAGACTGAGCAACATAAAACAAGCAAGAGAGGCGCTAAGAAAAACATGAGAAGAAGAAAGCAAGCTCTATGACAGCTTAGAGAGCATTTCGAGGTTATGATCATCACTCTACATCGTAACATAAACACTGAAAATAACAGAGAACAGGGAATGCCATCTTGAATAACTGAAGCCCATGTTGATCAACAGTGCCTAGAAACCTAGCTCAGACTTGTAAGAGATGACCTAATATCTCAGAGGAGCGCTGTATTTGACACTACAATAAAGGAAAACCGTCCTTCAACAATAAATCTGCTTGTTCTCCTGTCACTTTGGCTTAATGAGTAACATCTGCAGGCTTCCAAACTATCCGTGAATATCCTTTGGTACCAGACACACTGGTGCTAATTTCTTTCCAGAGCAGCTGCACTTAAAGACAATTGTTGAGGCAAACACTTAATTCTCCAGACTGCAAATATCTCCTAACTCTGATGAAGAAAGCAACAATTTTATTAAAAATAGTGACCACAATCAATCATTCATTAATTGTATTAGTGCTTTTATTTTTGGATGGCGGGGAGGTTATATAATTTTTATAGTACTATTATAAGAATATGATGAAAATTATTTAAGAAAAATAAATGGTCTGTTCAATTAGATCTACTGTATATGGAGTGGCATTTTTCAACTCAGCCACAAGATGGCATCAAACTCCTTGTTACAAAAATACAGGTCCACTGCAAGTTGTGAATTTTGTAGGGGTAAATGACAATACAATCATCCCCCATGAATATGAAGAAATAAAAAGTATCTGGAGTAATTTTGTATTTCATTTTACTAGATCATTTTCAGTTACCCATGTTTTAAATACTGCAACTTGATCAAAATACATCATAATCTGCGCTGGTTACAAATCTAATGTTCATATGTACTGTAAAAGTAACGGACTACAATGGCATATTTGATTAGCAAATGAGAACAACTGTATGAAGACAGTAAGTAGTCAAAATGCTTTTAAAATATTAGGGCATCTTTAAAATACATCTCAGTCTGGGGATTATGGCGCCAAGTGGTATGAAAAAAAATCAAACCGTGTGCCACAGTATACAGTTTAATATCAGTTTGAAAATATTTTTTCTTGTGCTACACATCATAACTGTGGATCTAAAAGAGCAAAAATTCAATTTCTACACAGCAGTAAATTGTTGTACGTTTCATAATATGGGTAAAAGATGTACTACACAATTGTATTCAGAATTAACTAGTTAAAACAACATCGTTTTTTGTTCAGCTTCAATTGATAATTTTATACCGTTTTGGATGAATTGTCACATAAGGATCCATAAATAATATATAGTATCAAAAAGAAAAGGATATAGTTAGCAGCTAAAATCCTTCAACTTTCAGTTCCTTGAAAAATGATTTAATGTACAGTATATGGAAAAGGCAGAATAGTGGAAGGCTCTCAGGCAATATTTAGTGCCCATTTAAGCTTAGAATCGTTTTGTACAGGATATGTACACTCTCAGCTACAAAATACTACCAACTTCAAATGAACTTAAAGCAGTACAGAAACAATCCCAGTCATTGTGCTGCATTGTGGAGTGAGTCCAACCCTACAGTACGTCTTCACATTTGAAGAGAGTGTCAAGTGCTAATTTCACAGAGCCTACAGGCTTTAAGTACACAAGTACACTACTAAGCTGAATAACAAGTAATACAAACATAACATACAATATTCCATTCATAAATGGCAAATTTTTATAAGTGTGTTAATGTACTTGAACCTGTGTTTCACCTTGTAGAGGAGTGTTTGCCTTAGCACCTGAAAAAGCCAATTTAACCATGTGCAAACTTTTGTTTCGAAAGTGAGCTTACATGTTTGGTACATTCTGTTGGTGAATGTGTTCCCAAATGTTTTAGGCTGCACATCTTTAACAGGTTCCTAGTGGCCATGTTTTGTCCTTGAAATTCATCCCACACCTCAATGCGGAGGTAGGCAGACAGCTACAGCTGTGCATCTGTGATTCCACCCAATCGTTACAGAGAAACCTACTTGCTGTAGTAGCAAAGCACTAAATGGCAACGCATCATTAACAATTCAATAAGTACTCATCAGGAATGGGAAAACTGTTTTTAAATACAAATAAAAGATTCTTGTAGGAAATAATTTTAAACTCCTAGCCATCGAGGATATATACAATCCTGACCTTATGTTCAACTCCAGCAAAGGTCTGACAATGAAAAATTCAGCAAATCAAATTCCTTTAAGAAGTAACAATATTAAAACATGCCGCTACTGTTTGTTTTCCATTCATTTCAGATGGTCTATTCTATTCATTCTGTGACAGACATATAAATTCTACTTCAGTACAATAGCTAGATTAAAGCGGTTTACATCAGTCTCTGCACTAGGGGGTAAAGATTTAGTTCAGACTGCCCTCGAGACAAGCTGGGCACCACACAAGCTGTTTTAAAATTAAATTCTTCAGCAGGGGGTAGCTTAGTACCAGAAACAAAGCTCTTTTTTTCTGGGGTTTTTTCTTTCAGGGGATGAATTAAAAAACAAAGAGATGATCAGACTTAAGACACTGGTGCTGTGTTAATACCACAGTGCGCAAGGTCAAGAAGGACACAGAGGGCTTGTGCTTTCAGTGCAGGGGAGACACAGGTGGGATGAGTCATCACACCCCTGTGCAGAATACTGTCTGAACAGAACAATTGTAACATTTGGTTTGAGAATCATGTACGTACGCTGGACTGAAAGCACAGTGCTTTACATACTGTATGTGGTGACACAGTAAAAATGCATTCTATACACACATCAAAAAATAAAGTTCCATACAGTACTTATACAGTAAAGAATGCATCAACAGTAAGAACTGCATTATAAAAATAAGATTTTACCTTCTTTCAGTTGCACAGAAGTTATCTTAATTAAGAAAACAAGAACCAGTGTCAAGACACTATATACAGTAGTATATACTGGTTGTCATAGAGGGTTGTCAGGCTCATTCAGTGACCTATTTAACTTCTATCTTTGCAGTGTGGATTTACAGATTGGGTTAGCAACAGCTAGGAACTATTCTGCATTAGAAAGAAACCTCAATATTCTTGGCCGGGCACAGACAGGCAAGGAGAGTTAACAGCCCTCTAACTCAGAAAGTTGGTGTTTGGTTAGAGAGAAATATGCAGGACAATGTGTTTTGGATCAGCAATACAGCCGCTGGTTTGGATAGACAGGACTCCACGTTCCAATGCTGAAATGTCTGCTTCTAATCAAAAGTACAGAAGAATAAGAAAAACAGAATAAAACACACGTACCACAATGCCCAGAGAGTTCTGTTAATATCATAATACATGAACCATTAAACGTCAGTTTACGAGGGACCTTTTAAAATTACTATGACTTTAGGAAAAGAGTCATAAGCCAATACATTAAGGGTGCATTTACTGTACAGTATATCCAGTGAAGAGATGAGGCAGCAACAGCTGTAGGGAAATCACCTGACACAGCAGAATTTTAAAACCACAGGAATGGTCACTTGCATCACGCCATAGGCAAATTATGGATCTTCACTTTCCCCACATCTGTCCTCAAACAAGATCAATACTTGCTCAGAAAGATATTGTGCGTAAATTACTTTAATAAAATCAATTCAGACCATCTATTGGTCTATTTTCTTTAGTCCATAAACTGCATAAAAGCTTAATTTAGCTTTCTCTGCGAATAGTGTCTGAAGCAAAGCAAAGCAAAGCGATACATTGATCTCTATAGATACTGTACTACATCACAGTATTGTCCAGGTTTTACTGGTGTTATCTGTTAATCAATTAAAATTGCATAGAAAACACCTACACATTCTGACTGGTTTGTCCTATGAATAATTGTACTGTTAGTGTTTAATCAAAAACCCTGCACACAAACGTCTGCAGTATATTTCAAAACCATCCCTGAAAAATTAAATGTGGTATATTCTTTCCTGGCCATGTGAGACTGGGTTAATGCTTCTGTTTCATATTCATACTGTATAACACAAATGCCCGAATGTCCCTAGTTCTTCTTTCTCAGAAGTCTAAGTTCCTTCATGACATAGTTAGACTAGGCTGGTACCTACTGGCACAACCCATGTATGAGTGAGTGTTCTTTGGGCTCAGCGATGAAAAAGACCAAACAAAAGGTTACTATCAAGTACAATATTGCTTTCTGTCTTCTTCAACACACATTATCATGTACCGTGTAATCTCAGAATGACACCAAGTGTGCAGTCACATTTGAGTCATCTTTCATGGAATTGATAATACATTGTTATCTTACATGCTAACACGAACATTATACAAGTTGCACTTGGAATTTTGTTTTTAAATCTGACCTCTGCACTGGGCTATTATTTAATTTTTTAATATCAGAATATGGCTCAAAGTATTCTAACAAACTTGATTTTCTCTTTTATTTATTACACAGCTAATTTAATTAACACACAAAAACAGTTCCTAAAACTAACCTCCTACAGTATGCACAACAGCTCAGCAATTTTAACAGAGAGAATAAATCTTATACCTCCTCTTCATCACTCGGTAATCGTTGATATTCTGAGTCTCCCATGTTGATGTCACTGTCTTCTTAATATATGGGTCTCCAGGAAGTCTGTCTCTTGCACTGTAGGGCAATAGCAATGTTCATCTGCTATCCTATTGTTTGCATTGAAGAGGCTGTTTTTTTGTTTTGTAATTGTAAATATTCACTGTAGATAAAGGATGTCTTCTGTTGCCTCCTCACCTTTTTTCCCCTAATATGTCATGCAGGAGGTGTCTGAACTGCAGCTTTACCCCTTACTGCAGGTTTCAGCTCTAATGCTTTAACACTGCACAGCTTAGAATCTTCAGGGAGAACTTCATCAGAATGCATCTGACAGTCACAGGCCACAACTCGAGAACCACTGGAAAAATATCCACTTCATTGATTTTGTTTGCATTTTTTTCTTTTCCTCCCCCCAAGACTTCGTGATAGCCGCCCGCTTCGGCTGCCAGCTTACAACTTTGGTCCCACTGAAATTTCAAATGGAGCTCCGACTGCTCGGCTGATGCCAAAGACTAACCGTCATCTTTTTTCCCCCAACTTATCTCTGAGCTGTAACCACGCAACACAATTTGCCAATTATATACAGGGTGGTGGTCTTTAACCAATGAATGAAAACACAGACCTGCAGCTAATACTCTCCTGCTTCAGAGGCTCAAAGGAAAGAGGAATGTCTGCAAAAACATCTCTGTGCATTGAGCTAATGTGGCATCCGTGAGTCTATGTACCAGACTTCCTGGATGGAAGAGAGCTACAGTATCTACACGATTTCTAATCTTTTATTTGCACAGGGCTTGCCTTTGACTACCTTGCCTTTTTCTACCTTAGAAATAGTGATGCACCCGCAAGCTCTCTGTGTGCGTTTAATGCATC